AAAGTATATGTGAACTGCTGTATGAAAAGTGAATTTACTCTGTAAATCTTCACCCAAATCCTAATTAAAAAAAAAAAAATTTTACCTTCTCTTCAAGTATTTTCTATTTTGATTTCAACTAATTATATATGTGCAATTCAAATATAGATAATGTACATGATACAATTCTTCCTAGATAAAATTTTTGGCACAGGTGACACAGTGAGTTTGATGATAATAGAAGACAACTAGAATTTTGCATTCTTATATGAGGAAAGAAAATGTAGAACAGATAAAAATGAGATAGGTTATGAAAAGAAAAAAGTAAACTAATTTGCTATATGTCAACTTGGCAAGGTTATGGTGCCCAGTTTTTTGGTCACACATAGTCTAGATACTGCTGTGGAGGCCTTTTTGTAGATGTGATTAATATTTATAATCAGTTGACTCTAAGATGATCTTTCTTGATAATGTGGGTGGGATTCATCTAACAAGTTGAAGGCCTTATGAGCTAAAACTGATGTTACCCAAAGAAGAAGGACTCTGCCTAAACTTCAATATAGACATCCTGCAGGAGTTTCCAGCCCACTGCCTGGCTTACAGATTTTGGACTTGCTGGGCCCCACAATAATGTTAATCAATGCCTTAAAATCTATCTATCTGGTAGGGTAATGCCTAAGGTACTTGACTGCTAACCAGAAGGCTGGCAGTTCAAAGCCACCAGCCACTCCTCAGAAGGAAGGTTGGGCAATCTACTTCTGTAATGATACCACCTTGGAAACCCAAGGAGGGGTCGCTATGAGTCAGGTCCAACTCGACGGCACATAACAACAATATCTGTCTATATATTATGCCTATATATAAATGTATACATTTATGTATGTAATTGGCTATGTTTTTCTGGAGAACCCTGAGTAACACATAATTTTCTAGCAGGTAAATACTTTTATAGTTTAGTGTGGTTTCTGAAAGCTTTAGTATTCTGGATCCTGGAATGGTTGCCTTTAAGGAGATCATAATGCTGATTTTTTTCCCCCAAAGAATTATTTGCTAAAAGACTAACCCAAAAGTTTATAGTCTGTATTTGATGTTTACAGTACACAAAATAAAATGTCTTCATTAACCACCAAGAAGTTGTCCTTGAGTTGATTTCAACTCATGATGACCCCATGTGGGTCAGAGTAGAAGTATGCTCCATAAGGTTTCTAATGGCTGAGTTTTCAGAAGTAGATCACCAGGCTTTTCTTCTGAGGCACTTCTTGGACTTGACACAGATGTTTGCATCATTCAGGGACTCCTCTTAATTAATAGAGTCATTCAATATTGAAAAAGTGCCTAAACAATTTTAAATAAAGGAAGAATGCATTTCTGAATCAAATCAGGACACTTGTCTACCTACTTGCATAGTTTTATCTTACAGTGGACATATTTATCAAGATATGCATTGTCTCCACTATGATTAAAACCAATGAGCACACAATTTCCCCTTTTGGATGATGAAATCCATCTATGTAACAATAAATATTTTAAAAGGAGAGCAGATATATATCTTCTTACCTGGATCCTTTTCAATTTGGACAGCCAGTCTTGTGTTAGAATTATCCACTCGCCTTGTACTAGAAGAGGCCAAAAAAGGGTAAAAGACATAATTAGATCCTCCCAAATGAAAGAGGTGGCTTAAAGAATGACCTGTGTGAGTATAATAATTAGTTGGAATTAGAAATACCATTTGACCCAGCCATACCATCACTAGGTATATATCCTAAAGAAGTGAGAGCCAGGACGAGAACAGATGTATGCACACCCATGTTCATTGCAGCAGAGCACTATTTATAATGGCAAAAAGATGGAAACAACTTAGGTGCCATCAACAGAAAAATAGATAACCAAATTCTGCTACATACACACAATGGAATACTATCCAACTCTAAAGAATAGCATACAATCTGCAAAACACTGCATAACATAAATGAACTTGGAGGACATCATGCTGAGTGAAACAGGTCAGTCACAGAAGGACAAATATTTTATTAGTCTGTTATCGTAAAAAGTCAAGGAAAGGTTTATATACGGAAGGAAATTTTCTTTGTTTGCTACCAGGGGTCGGGGGGGGGGGGACATTGCTAGATAGGTAGAGATAAGTATTTATTTGGGTGAAGGGAAGGGTAATGTACTAAATGTTAGTAATGAACATAGTGGCATTGAGGAAGAGGAAGACATATAGAGGTGCATGGGAGATAAAGACAACAAAGATGAACCTTTTCGCACATACATTACTGCATTGTTAATGATGGGAAACATTGATACATGGGTGGATAGATGGGTAGACAAGCTGAATGATTAGGTATGTCTTTGTAGGAGGGTGTGTTCCCATGACCATGCATAAGGTTGGCAGACAATGTTTCTACAAGTGTATTTGTATGTTCTCTAAGAATCCCCAGGTGTATAGTAGAGCTGACAAAGGACAAGGTTGAAGTCACTTCTTGGCCACAGCCAGCTACCCTGAGGGAGCTAGTAGTTAGACTTAGTTAGGTAGAATGAAGAAAAACAAAGATTCATGGAAACAATTGGTCCAAGGAATTGGTACACCATGTGATTCTCAGCCTATATGACTATGAGACCAGAAGAACTAGATGGTGCCCAGCTACCACTGTCAACCACTTGGAAGGGGATCTATGTAGGAGATCTTGGATAGAGTGGAAGAACAATGTGGAACAAAACTCAAAATCGTTTTAAAAAAAGGGGGGGGGGAGACCAGGTTTGCTGGTCTGATAGAGTCTGGTGGAACCCCTGAGACTATGGCCCCTAGCTTCTCTTCAGGTCTGGAATTGAACTCACTCCTGTGGCTTCCAGACAAACAAAAGACAGATATATGAGCTGAACATTTACATTAGGTAGATACACTCCTTGGAGAGATCAATCATGGGAGACTATAAGGGCTGTGTATGCGTAAGGAGACAGCTCAGGGGGCAGGAGTACAAGGGAGGGAAGGACACAGGGAAGAGGTAACTATGGGGAGGAAGTGGGAGGGAGACTGTTGCATTGTGGGAAATTGCAGTCAATGTCATGAGGCAAAGTGTATGTGAGCTGCTGTATGGAAAGTAAATTTGCTCTGTAAACTTTCACCCAAATCACAATAAAAATTAAAAATAAAAAAAAAACCGAATGAGCTGTGTGAGTAATTAATTGTGTTATGCCCCATTACATGTACTTTATACATATTAGCTCATTATATCCTCACAACAACTCTATGAAATAAGTACTATTATTATATCCATTTGCAGAGGCAAAGCAATTTTAAGTAAATTGCTCAAGATCACAGAACTAACAGGTGGTAGACCCAGGGTTAGAATCCTGGGAGTCTGGTTCTGGAGTTCTTAGTCCTCATCAGCCATGCATTTCTTTGTGTGGTTATTTGATTATATCTGCCTTTTACATTAAACTCTGAGTGCCACAAGGTCATGCTTTTTGCTCACTACTGGCACGTGGGAGGTATGCAATAACTTGAATGAATGAATGATCACAGATAATGCTGTTATTGAAGACTTTTCCCTCAAAACACCAGCTAAATAGAAAGAGGAAAGCTGCCATCTGGTGCTGCATACATGTCTTGCTGTTAAACACGACCTATGGCATGACTGAAATAAATGGCCGGTACTTAGTAATGGTGCTTAAGAAGAAACCTCGGAACACAGACTTCTTTGTGAACTCGCATCCTGGGAATCAAAAAAGATAAAAAGATACTTGAATGAAACTACAATTAGAATAAATGAAAAGGCTTTTCTTCAGAAAGAAAAAGGGTACTCCTTTTCCCCTCATATGTATTAGACATTTGAGAATCATCTAGCCAACATCTTGTTTGCCTTTGTGGAAGAGTCTCAACAAATGGGTTGAAGAGAAGGAATAATCTGTTACATCTGAAAAAGGGCTGCTAACCCCAACATGCTGTAACCCTTATACTACTTCAGTTTTCCTTCCAAATATCTTCACAGAAGCTTTGAAAATTAAAGAGCCCATGATGGCTGAACACAGAGCAAACAACAACATTCTAAGGAGGGCCAAAATCCCATCTTTGTGTAATTATTCCCTGAATGGAATTTTAATTTCACCTTAAGACCTAGGACAAATGGAATTTTCAGTGGCAGAATAAACAATTTTTAAAGTGGCAATGAGCCAAAAGAAACTAATTTACCAAACTCCTTGGGGAATTAAAACACCTACAACTATGTAACTGGAAAGCTATCTTTTTAAAGGCTGGAGAATGTGAAGTGCTAATGTAATCAACAATAACTAAGCTAAACTGCCTATAAGCCCCAGGGCCTCTGGCTCTCAACCAGACCCTCCTCAGAGGTGAGCTGTCAGCATCCTGGGTAATTTGAGCTTTCCTCCAAGGCTCTCCTGAAAATTTGGTGCTTACAACTCAAAGGTGCTAATAGCTCAGTAATTAGATTTTTGCCTTAACTATCCCATTGTGTGAGCATCAATTCTGTTGCTCAAAGAGAAAATGCTGGCTTCTACCTTACTCCTCCACCTCAGTGAGAGTATAAAAAGGCTGTACTTGTTAAGAGAGAACTGCAAGCATGGCTTTCTGTGAACTTCCTGACAAAGGTGCTGTGCACCGCTAGGCCACTGTCCTGAGTACTACAAGTTCAGTGCTTAGTGATAGGCCTTTCCAGATAAATCGGCTTACTTCCAGGAACCGTTCCCATATGTTAACATGGAATGTAGATAGCAGTGCCCGTTTCTGCCCTATGAACTTGAACTTCCCACTCCCTCATCTGTCTTATAACCCAAATACCTTTTCTGTTGCATAGTTTCATCTGAGGAACTTAAAGTAGCATTCTTCAGTTATACTACTTCATATTCTTGTTTGTGACCACACATAGACCATTGATACTAAAAGCAAACACATTTTTTTTTTTTAATTGTGATTTGGGTGAAAGTTTACACAGCAAATTCACTTTCCATACAGCAGCTCACATACACTTTGTCTCATGACATTGACTGCAGTTTCCCACAATGCAACATTCTCCTCCCACTTCCTCCCCATAGTTACCTCTTCCTGTGTCCTTTTCTCCTATGCACTCCTGCCCCCTGAACTGTCTCCCTGTGCATACACAGAGCTTATATTCTCCTATGATTGATCTCCAAGGAGTGGGTCTACCTAATGTAAATGAGCAGCTCACATGCCTGTCTTTTGTTTGTCTGAAAGACACAGGAATGGGTTCAATTCTGACCTGAAGGGAGGCTGGGGCCATAGTCTCAGGGGTTCTACCAGGCTCTATAAGACCAGCAAACCTGGTCCCTTTTATTTACTTATTTATTTTCATGATCTTGAGTTTTATTCCACACTGTTCTCCCACATTATCCAGCATCTCCTAAATAGATCCCTCTCCAAGTGTTTAACAGTGGTATCTAGGCACCATCTAATTCTTCTGGTCTCATAGTCATATAGGCTGAGGATCACATGGTGTACTAGTCCTTTGGACAAACTATTTCTATGTGTCTTTGGTTTTCTTCATTCTTGTTTGCTCTGGATGCAGAGAGATCTATCATTGCATCTAGATGGCTGCTTACAAGCTTTTAAGATCCCAGTCATTATTTGCCAAAGTAGGATGTGGAATAATGTTTTGTGTAGTATGTTATGCCAATTGAACTTGATGTCCTCTGTGACCATGGTCCTAAGCCCACAGGTCCTACTACTTGCTCCTCTGGGTAGCTGGCTGTGGCCAAGAAGTGACTACAATCTTGTCCCTTGTCAGCTCTACTGAATACCTGGGAATTCTTATAGAACATACACTTACGGAAACATTGTCTGCCAACACTATACATGGTGATGAGCACACTCCCCCTTCCACGGATACCTAATCATTCAGACTGTCTACCCATCTATCCACCCATATATCAATGTTTACCATCACTGGTAAGACAGTACTTTATGTGCAAAAGCATTAATTTTTGTTGCCTATACCTCCCATGCACCTTTCTATGTATTCCTCTGCCTCAATGCCAGTGTGTTGATCACTCACATTTGGTACACTGCCCTTCTCTTCACCCAAAGCAATACTTGTCTCTACCTATCTAGCAGTGTTCCCTCCCCTTCCATCCCATCCCTGGTAACCAACAAAGAATATTTCCTTCCATACATAAACCTTTCCTTGACATTTTACAATAATGGACTAATAAAATATTTGTCCTTCGGTGATTGACTTATTTCACTCAACATAACGTCCTCCAAGTTCATCCTTGTTATGTGGTGTTTTTCAGATTCTACTTTATTCTTTAGGATTGCACACTGTTCCATTGTGTCTATGTACCATAGTTTGGTTATACATTCCTCAGTTGACAGAGACCTAAGTTGTTTCCATCTTTTTGCTATTGGAAATAATGCTGCGTTGAACATGGGTGTGCATATATGTCTGTTCTTGTCATGGATCTCACTTCTTTAGTAATGGAATGGCTGGGTCAAATGGTATTTCTAATTCTAACTTTTTAGGAATTGCCATACTGCTTTCCACAATAATTGTACCATTTCACAGTCCCACCATCAGTGGATGAGAGTCCCAGTCTCTTAGCATCCTAACCAGCATTTGTTATTTTTCATCTTGTTGAACTT